CCTGGGCCCGGGCCCTGCGGCGGTTGAGGCCTCGGGGGCGTCAGCAGCGCGCCTCCGCCCCTCGAGGGTGCCGGGGAAGCTCAAAGAGCCGCCCACCTGCGGCCCCCTTGCGTAGCCCACGGGCTCCTCCACGGGGCCGGGATTCCCTCCCGGGACTTGGAGCCCGATGGGGTTGGGCACCAGCCCTGGGTGCCCCGGGAGACCTGTTGGGTGCTCTTGCTGCGCAGAGCCCCCGCTACTCAGGGTCGCTAGTATCACGGCTCCTGGGCCTGCGAGCCGCTGCCCAGACGGGGCCCTCCGGGGCTGCAGGAGAGCCAGCAGCCCCTCCCGGCCGGGCCCCTGCTCCCCCATGGCCAGGGCCCACTCTTGTCTCTGGCCGTTGGTCTTGTCCTGTGTCAGCTGGGTGCTCCTTCCCTGGGGGCCTGGGCTCTCCCTCCCCGCATGCTGCGTCATTTGTTCTCCCAGAGACCTGCAGAGGTCCCTTGGAATTCCCTGGAATTCTTCCTCCCCGGGCTGTGTAGGCGCCTCTCCCTGAGCCACCTCCCAAGCTTCTGAGATCCTGCCTCTGCCTCCAGAAGACTGAATGATCTTCACTTCCCAGCCCTGAGGGGTCTCCTTTCTCAGACATTCAGGGTGATTTCCTTTTTGATCTTGAAGAGCATCTTTGTTTTCACCCTGAGGTGTCTCCCACCCCAGACCCCCAGAGACCTCTTGTCTCAGAGCCTGAGTAGCCTCCCCACTCTGACCCTGGTTTGTCTTCTTTCTCTGACTCTGAGGAACTTCTTTGTTCTCACCCTGGGGGGCTTCCCTGCCCTGACCCTGAGGGTCCTCCTTTCTCTGACTCTGAGGAATCTCAATCCCCAGCAGTTTCTGAAGTTCTGCTCTGTCCAGGTCCAATCTCCAGCCCAGCCACTCAAGGGGATCTTGGGATTCTGGCAGGCCCTGGGAGGGTAGGCCTGAGGGCCCGGAGGCTTCCTGAGTGATCTTTTCCCCCCATAGGCTTCCAGATGATGATGGAAGTGGTCCTTGGGTTGTGGGCTCTGCTTGGCCCCTCTCTTCCTTCTGGACTGGGTTCTGGGAAGGAAGAGCACTTTGTCCTAGAATTGTGAGAGAATCCCTGTGCCAGGGCCACTTCCCCTGGGGGAGCCTGGAGACCCCAGCAGCTGTCCCAGTGGGCCTCACTTCCATTATGGCCCTTGCCTGATTCCTGAATTTGTTAAACCCATATTACGTAGTGTAAAAGGTGCTTCAGTAGTGGTCCCTTCTTCTACCTGACTATAAGAGGTAGTCCCACCTCACCCCAGCAGCCTCCTCCAAGGCAGACCCCAGCCCTGCTGTCCCCAACCTGAGAGGGCCCTTGCCCAGGACCCTTTGACCCCTTCACCTTGAATTCTGAATTTCCTGGTTCCCCAAAGCTACTGCTGGTGGTGGGGTCCAGCTCTTGTAAGCAACCTGAGAGAGAAATTGATATAAGGAGTCCTCTGCTCATGTCCCAGCCCCTCACACACATTCCACCTGAACTGGAACCAAGAAGCCTAGGAATCCCCAGCAATAAGGGGAGGGGGTGCCCAGATAGCTGGTGTTTGAACTTCAGGGCTGTCATAGTTCATTGTTCCACCTTTATTTATACAGCCTACTATGTGCCTGCTTGTCAGGTTTGCCCACAGCTGACCCCATTTTATCTTCCCAGCCAAGACAGGCCATCTCGCTGGAACCCGCACGCCCTCCTCCACCATGGGATGCCTTGGAGCAGGCAGGGCTTCATTAGGATGCCCCACTTTGTCCTGATGAGCCCACCTGGGTCCATAAAGAAAACCACTGCATGCACCTTTACTATTATTAAGGAAAATCCTTTTTTAGCTCTTTCTTGGTTTCTGACAGCAGTCAAACGAAATTCAAGAAGTGAAATTTTAGGCTAGAGCCGAGCCTCAAAACTGTGTCTTCATAATTAACAAAAGGAATCTAAAAAAGGAGATGAAATGTCACTGCTTCCTTGCAGCTGTGGAGGGAGGAAAGTGGCTCAGCATCCATAAAACTAGTTAAAAGAATTTGATTTCATACGGTATTAAATTGAGAACCTTCTCAAGAACATTCCATCTTTATGCCATATGGATGTGGGAATATTCATAATGGTCACAGAGAATGTTCTCTGTGAAAATAAATCTGTCTTTTGAAGAGTTTCTGAACAAAGGGGTCCAATAAGATTCCCGAGCCTTCAGAAATTATTGCCATGAACTGTGAAAATAACCCCCAATCCCCTTCCTCTGTGAGTCTGGCTTTTGTCTCACCAAACCATCTGTTTCTCTGGTAATAACGTAACTAATATTTTCATATTCCCAAGAGATAATATACTTGTGAAAATTTCTCTGTCAATCAGAAAATAATCATTGGCACTTTCTTTCTCTCTCAAACATATGATGGAACAATTAAAAGCTTATGGCTGCCTGGCCGGGCGTGGCTCAGCGGTTGAGCATCGACCTAGGATCCAGGCGATCAGGGTTCGATTCCCGGTCAGGGCACATGCCTGGGTTGCGGGCTCAATCAATGACTCTCTCATCATTGATGTTTCTAGTTCTCTCTCTCCCTCTCCTTCCCTTCTCTGAAATCAATAAAGATATATTTAAAAAAAAACAAAAAAACTTATGGCTGCCCTGGCAGGTGTGGCATTGTCCCATGTATAGAGAGGTCACCGATTTAATTCCCAGTCAGGGCACATGCCCAGGTTGCAGGGTTCAATCCCCAGTATGGGGTGTGCACGAGGCAGATAATTGATGTTTCTCTCTCCCTCTCCCTTCCTCTCCCTCTAAAATAAATAAAAACATACTTTAAAAAAAACCCAAACTTATGGCTTTGCTGGCTTTAGTATTTAACAAATCCTTTGAGAGCCTGTTTTGCTTAAATTAACAGGTCCAGGGCTCACAGCATCTATGTCACTGGATTCTAATGCCCTGTTCATGGTCACGCTCTCTCACTAGGCTGTGCTCTCAGAGAAAAGACCAAGTGATGGGGCCAAGATTCTTGTGCTTGGTGTATCCCCAGTGTCTGGCACAAGGGTGGCCAACAGGCTATTCCATTCCCTCCTCCCCGAGCAGTCATGGACAGACATTCCCCGCCTCTCTCCCCAGAGCTCCAATTTAGTTTCAGAATCCTCCTGGACACAGTGCCTGAGACAGCTGCTACAAATCACGGGGATTTGGCACATAAAATAAAACCTAGTAGTCCTTCAGCGCCCTGACGCCCAACAAAAAGGTACGAGACAAAGAATGAGTGAGGAGTGCGCTGGAATCATGGACTCAGGGTGAGGACTTCCCTGCCTCCTCCCATCTAGTCTGGCCACCCCAGCCCAGGAGCGCCCGCTGTCCTGGAGGCCAAACCCTCCCGTCAACATACCAGGTGTGGACTCTGCAGAGACGCCAGGGCTCTCCCACCTTGGGTCTGTGTCACTCCCAGCTTCCCCCAGATCTGGGGCTGATGATGGGTCTGCAGCCTGCCCCCTGTAAGAGTGCAAAAGCTGCTCCCATGCACCTCTTGTATCTGGGCTCTGGAAGGCGGCGGCAGACTGTCTGCCAGTCTCCCCACCCCCAGCACCAAACTCAATCCAGGGCAGCCTGCCCCAGCCCCTGTACCCACCGCTGGATCCTAGGAGCTAGACCTGGGGGTTACCCTTTCCAGGGGCCGTGGGGCTACCATATGGGTACAACTCAGTGAGAGTTCCAGGAGGAGCGTACTGTGTGA